ATCATTTTTCATTTTATATGACTGTTTAGGATCTACAACGAGTTAAAGTTGTATATTTACCACTTGCGCTTTTTTAATGCAAATGTTTACAAGTGTCCTAGACATTTTTGATCACGGGTCTTAACTTAGGGGTTTTGCCCCCAGATTTAGGGGCTAGAAGTGTTAAAATGGACTTTTTTTGGGGATTCGTTTAGGGGCTTTAAACAAACTTGCAATAAAATCGAAAAACAGAGTCTTTTCCTTTAGTTTTGTGCGTAGAACGCAACGATATGAACTGGCTCTGTGGCGGGTTGTTTCCTAAGGCTGTATAGACTAAAGTTCTTTGCCTATCACCAATGGATAAAATAATAAATCAACAACATTTCGGTCTTTCATTAGTTTACGCCATACTCACGTCTCACTATTCATTTTTGTCATTCATTCAATAAAATAATTTACTGTAACTAAACATGTAACGTTTCAATTTATGAGCAAACGAAAGAATTTAGATAACAAGTAGGTACATATAAAATTCTATATTTAGGGGATTTTAGGGGAATTTAAAAAATACTTAGGGGAAATTTTGGTAAGGGTTGGTAACACAGTTTTTGATATATTTTTTAACCGACCTCAAAAAGAAGGTTCTCTATTCAGCCGCTATGTTAAAAAATATATCAAAAATGTCTAGGACACTTGTAAACATATGCATTAAAAAAGCGCAAGTGGTAAATATACAACTTTAACTCGTTGTACATCCTAAACAGTCATATAAAATGAAAAACGATGTAAGAAACCTAAACATGAATTGGAACAGAAATTTATTAATCACAGTTCTGTTCCAAATACTCTCATCCTGTATAATATCAAAGAGTAGATAGATAATAAGTACATTAAAAATATGAGTATTTTTTTTGCTTTATTACCTAATGCAGTGGATGATGAAACATTATTATTATGTGGTGATCCTTGAGTTTAGTACGCGGCGAGAGTCCCACAAATGATTTTTATTACTAGAAATAGACTTAGCCATTATCGAGTCGGGAACTTATTGCAGCTGGCAGTAACTTGGCAGTAACTCATGTTTGGATTTAACTACTCAATTAACTGAGAATTTTATTGACTTTTTTTCACAAATGTTATTAAAAAAAATACGACGGGTTGCACTCCGGGAGTGCCGGCAGAAGTGAAAACTTGAATATTAATGTTGTGCATTTTTGATATTTTGGAATGGTCAGGGAATAATTTTGCACGAATTGCTTTAATTATCAGTATAAAAGTACTATCATGTAGATGGTAGAATAAAATATTTATTTATTGCGCTATCGTACACAAACGCGACAATTTATATTACATTAAAAAAGTTTATCTCTCAGAAAAATCAACTTACATGAATCACGTTTAAGCGCACTTAGCGACATCTATGGTAAAGAAATCAACTTACATGAATCACATTTAAGCGCACCTAGCGACATCTATTGTAAAAAAATGCATTTTCTTCGCAATAAAGCTGCCACGTGGACGTCCTAGATGGAGAATTATCATCTCTTATCTATTAGACAAGTCCGTCCGTCCGTCCGTCCGTGGTGCTGTTTCAGCGGCCAAACCGATAGAGATAGATATAGAGAATGTTTAAGTTATAAGTTAAGAATAGTCTGATAAGACTACAAACCGGATGTGAGTAACGTAGCACTTCCGGTTTTCGAGAAATCACGTGATTTCTATTTCAAACGAAACCACACAAAATCTCCGAAGTTCTCAATTAATTAAATACTTTTTTTTTTTGGTTAACATTTGGTTCACTGGTTTGCTAGTTATAATATGATAAAATAAAATATTACTATGTTTTGTCTAATATATTGAAAGTCAACAACCTTTCCAATTTTATTGTGTGTCATGATGCGATCAGCCCACGTGTTTAATCTGACGCGAGTTTAACATTTTTTACCCATACATAAAAAGTGTACAACGCCGCTAAAGAAGTTTTCACTTCAAAAACCAAGCGGACCAGGCAGCAGACGGGACTCGAACTCCACTATGCGGGCGGATGCACTGGCCATTAAGTTAGTGCCGCAGTAGCATAATGGCAGGTGTCCAGTCAGCGTAGATTTTTTTCTAGTAAAATTTTCTTTAGATTAAAAAGGGTACTAAGGTGGTACTGTGTCTAATATTCGGTATGAAATCATTTGGTTCCGTAAGTACGTAGTACATTCCATATGTTTACACCTGTCGATCGCGTATCTGATTGAGTCGGCCTTAATGCCGGCTCTGTGAACATCTGGTGAGTGACCTGTAGAACCTCGGCTCAGTCAATCGATACCGACGATCGTGATTATGACAATAAAATAAATAAATAAATTATAAATATTTCCAACACTCACACCAATTAGCCTGGCCCCAAAGTAAGCACTATAAGGCTTGTGTTATGGGATACTAGGGTAACGGATAGAATACATATACAGTACATCCATGACTGGAGTACAAATGCTCGTATTCATCACACAAACATCTGTCCCCACCGGGATTCGAACCCGGGACCTCTCGAATCGGCGACACCATGAAACCCGACGTACAAACCACTCGGCCACGGAGGTCGTCAATACCAATGTATTATTTATTTTTATTAAAAAAAAAAAGTGTTTTTCATCACAAAAATGACGTGATCCAAGCTGGAGCACGCAGACTCATATAATGCCTATTTGCTTTTGCCTTTAAGATGCCTATAATATAAACGTATCAGTGAATAATGACGCAGAAAGGGAATTCCATTCCCAAGCGGTTCGCATGATGAAGTTGATTGCGAATTGTGGGGTAGGCAAGTATTGTTATAGTCGTAACAGTAGTTTTAAATGTTACTGTGAATAACTTACTGAAGTACCTATAAGATTTTTGATTCCTATTTTGGGACCAAAATCTTATTATCTCAAGCTTCACCGTGCTTCGGAAGACACGTTATTAAGCCTTTGATCCCTTCAGCATCTGCAGCCGTAAGCACCACCCAAACTGACCCGCACGAGGCCCATATTATGAGACATCCATACCCTTTCACCCTAGGCCATCTAGTGGGAAGATTGTAGTCAGAGACGTCTCTGACCCTTGTAGTGCTCGTGTGCAATCATTAACCTTCTTTTTGTTTGCTGTTAACAAACTCTCGCGACGCAGGTAATTGCGATTGCGTGGTGCACTCGGCAAGCGGCGAACAGCACGCGGGACGGGCTGCTCGCCGTTTCGGACTCGCTTTAGCCGATCCTGGGCTTTTCCGTTCACAGCGTCACCTAACTAGTCTCACGGACCGCAGTTCGAGCGGCTAGCCAGCCGACCAGCTCCGGTACCTACCAGGTAAACCAACTCCCTGAACTACCCCTCACCTTCCAGGCGTAACTGCGGGATCAGTGTTGCCAGTTCCGATTTTTAAAAATCGGGAGAGCTTATAGAAAAAAACAGTAGATGTATGGAAAGAGCTACAAGAAAAACAGTACATACAGAGGCGTACTTTTGCCGATTTGCACCCCCCCTAGAATCGATAAATCAAATCCAAATAACGACCAGCAACGAATGTGATTTTAGACAATAACATTTATTCTATACTTATTAAGGTTACCTACATTATTAATGGCGGAAAATGCAACTCAACGTGCAATTTCATAAAGAAACCGTATTCTAAGAAAAACAGGAGATTCATGTAGAAAAACAGTAGAACAGGAAAAAAATCAGAAAAACAGGAGATCTCCTGTAAAATCTGGAGACCTGGCAACACTGTGCGGGATCCAGTTATGAGTCGCCGCTTGATGGAATTATTAACCTAGCGCCCCCTAGTACGCGCGCAATCAAAATGTTGGCGAGTGACGCTCGGCGCCCCCTAAGACATCTGCATCCTGATAACTTGCACCGTAGGTAAAGCCGCCTCTGGTTATACCCCAGTCAGGACTAGATTTAAGGCAGGCAGGGAAGCTGTGGCCCCCCACAAGACGGAGCCCGTACAAGAGAAATCGTTTCCCACTTGTCGGGTGTCGGATCCGTATATTAATCGGATGTCGGTGCCTTTGTTCACACACACGATTAATAATCGGTTGTCGGTCACGGTTAAAGCTTTAACCAATTTTTAGGCACTCTACGCGAGGCGACTGTTCACGATGGACGTTGACGAAGTTCTTGTTGTGATGTTCCTATTATTGTTTAATAAAACAAAGAAAGAGAGCCATGGAATGTAAATATTGGGTGCACATATTCCTGAGGGAAAGATTTGATTTTGGGTAAATTTCAGAACTTAATAACAGAATTGAGAGGTGACGAAATTAAGTGTTTCTATTATGATAATGATGATGATATTAGGATGTCAATATCAACATTCAACGATCTACTGACTCAAATATTAGTGAACATTAACTACCAAAATACAGGACTTAGGAGACTGCATTTGTACTGAAAAAGGGTTGCGATACGGACGGAACAAGGGGTAGCGAGGGAGGATAGTCAGCCCCGACACCCGACAAATATGAACTACCGTGGCGCTATTCCTAATCATAGGCGGGCGAGATTCGACACGATTTTTTTCCGAGCGTAGAGGGCAGGCAAAACACCCGACACTACTTGTCGGAGCCGACACAAAATCGGTTTCCGATAAGTGTGAATAGCTTCTTATATAATGCTCTGCCACTGGAACCTCCGATTAATATACGGATCCGACACCCGACAAGTGGGAACGAGCTCTAAGTCGCCCGGCCTAGATTTAGGCGCCACCACTGTTCCGCTGCCCAAGGGCCACTACACCTCTAAATCCGGCCCTGATTCCAGTAATGAAGACATACATTTGCCATGGGTGTCTCCCTGATATTGCCCGAGAGAGCCACCGGGCAAAGTGAAAGTAAACTACAGGTTTGAAAAATAAAAGAATCTGGAAGACGCAGAGGGATAAAGCACTGGGGCTGAGATCTGAAGGGGTCATCGTCCTTTCCCCTGAGCCATCCAGAGGGAAAGTCTGTACCTCAGCAATGGGAATATTAATAGGCTGATATACTGCTGACCTGTTGATCGTGATCGCCACCATAGACAGTAGCGACACCGCCTCGTTGCCGTAGAAGACGAAGGCGAACATTTGGCACATGGTTTCTCCCAACGTCCACCGCTGGTGGATGAACCGGCTCGCCGTGAGGGGCAGGTTGATGCCGCAGAACAGTAGGTCCGACACGCAGAGGGACAGTACGAACATCGTGGTCACGTGACCACGCAGCTTCGGATGCATTAACAGGGCTATTGTGGTGATGAGGTTGCCTGAAAGAGAAAAAATAATTTATGTTATCAATTTATAATCCCATGATACACCATTTCGAGGGTTGCTTACATTTTTTTTATATATAAATTATTAACTAACAGTTTTCAGAACATCATAAGTAGAGTTGTACTCCAAAAAATTTAACACTATTTTTAACATGTTTAGGCAAATTTCCTGTGCAATATTATTTTCCAGAACTCATGTTGAACGCTTGCCTAACTTTTTTGTGGTAATAATGCCTTCGTCTCGCTTGCATTTAACAACATAATAGTATATTGTTTTAAACTTTCATGGTCACTAACATTATAGTAATGTAAGTTATTTACGGGATTGTTACCATGTACCTTGTTTTTAGCGAGTTTCCGATATTTCGGCACTGTTGCAAGCGCCATGATAACGGAGTAACTCAGTTACTATAACATAACAGTAGTACATTGTTTTTTCTGTCATTCAATTGCTCATAAGTATAAGAACGTTATCGCTAACTAAATCAATCTTAAGCGCAAGAAACCATCTTAAGTGAAAAAAACCGGCCAAGTGCGAGTCGGGCTCGCGCACCGATGGTTCCGTACAAATCTGTAGGTATATAATAATTATAAAAAAATGTATTTACTAAAAATTACGGTTTTTGTACCAAATTTCAAGATTCTGAGTTCACGGGAAGTACCCTGTAGGTTTTTATTTCCTTGCGAGTTTCGAAAATATACGTAAAGCGGCATAAACGGCTGTATCTTTTGATTGCGTTGGCTTAGAAGTTTGATTTTTTCACAGCTCCAAGAGACTTAAGACCTGAGTACTCATTTAAATTTCAGATTGACATCTCCACGGGTTCCTGAGAAAAAGGGTCTTGACAGACGGACGGACGGACAACAAAGAGATCCTATAAGTGTTCCGTTTTTTTCCTTTCAAAGTACGGAACCCTAAATACATCAAAAGGTATGAAAGCACTCAGGAAGTATATGCATTGAGGACCAAGCACCTACGTCATACCCTCGAAACTGAGCAAATAGGCCGAGCGGTCACATAAACATGAGGTGTTTATGTGGCCCAAACAATTTGTACTCGGGTCAACGGTGACTGCAGCCAGTTTGTATAAGTGTTTGTTCAGTTGAAAGCTTACTTTTCACCGTTCTTGCTATAATGTGCTGTCCTGTGACGTAACAGTTTTTTTGAAATGAAAACTTCTTTAGCAGCATTGTACACTTTTTTTGTATGGGTAAAAAATGTTAAACTCGCGTCATGTTAAACACGTGGGCTGATCGCACCATGACACACAATAAAATTGGAAAGGTTGTTGACTTTCAATATAATGAACGAAACATAGTAATATTTTATTTTATCGTATTATAATAATAAGTTTCTATTTAGGACGTCCACGTCGCAGCTTTATTGCGAAGAAAATGCATTTTTTTTACAAAATATGTCGCTAAGTGCGCTTAAACGTGATTCATGTAAGTTGATTTTTCTGAGAGATAAACTTTTTTAAATATTTGTTTCTTAGGTTTTCACGCACATCACTCAGTACGGCGCAACGCAGTGTCGAGTAAACACGGTTTAACAGCTGAGCGTGCCTTTCCGTGAATCATTTGCAACTCATTCGCTAGTCAGTGATTCTCAAAATGTTTACGACTAAATGTGCCACCTGTAACGACACTGTCGGTCATGGCTCGGAGTGCTCAGTGTGCAAACAAAAATATCATTTCGGTTGTGGCGGCATATCCGAGAGGGGTTTCAACAGATTGGGGTCCGGCAGGGACTCATGGATATGTCCCGCTTGTCGAGATACCAGTGGATCAATTTCCAAGGATGCTTCACCGTCATCAGTCACCAGTGGGACGCCAGTTACCTCCAAAGTACACTCAAGTCATCTCATTGAACATTCCACAGCGGTAATCCAACCCGAACGTGAAACTGTACTCAAGGACATCCTGGCCAAAGTAACGGATCTTCAAACGCAATTTCAATCATTTCAACGAATGGAATCTGATTTAAAACAAGTGAGAGCCGACGTTGCAGACCTTAAATCGTCTCTTGACTTAAGGGTGGACGGCATATTGGACCGTGTTTCGGAAATAGAATCCCGCTTGTCACCTATTGAAGATGTAAAGGCAGAAATAGACAGCCTTAAAAAAGTAATTGAAGCTCTTGTTGAGGATGGCCATAAAAACGAACAATGGGTGCGGCGTTCCAACATACAGATCAATGGAATCCCATATAAAACTGGTGAAAACTTAATTAACTTGGTCAAGAGCCTCGCCGACTTAAGTGAATATTCACTGAAAGAGACGGACATCGATTTTGTCACGCGGGTTGCAGTCAAGGACAGTCAAGATAAAAGACCTAAGCCGATCATATTAAAAATGCAATCGAGATATAGAAAGGACGACTTCTTGGCGGCTCTTCGTAAATTGAAAGATATCAAAGCTAGTGACTTGGGCTTTAGTTCTTCTCAAAATCGAATATACGTAAATGACCATCTATCAACTAAAAATAAATATCTTCTTCAACAAGCTAAAATCAAATCTAAGGAGAAAAGCTATGCATATTGTTGGGTACGGAACTGCACAATTATGGTTCGCAAAAGTGCAAAATCACCTGTGATTCACATCAACTCCGAGGAAGCTTTAAAGAAGATTACATAAGTGCTAACTTTCTATTATTTAATTGGTTTTGCTGCATTATTTGTCTGTTTTTAAAAATCGTTTCTAGTTTTAAATGTTTTAAATTTTTAATAATCTCAATTTGCACTAAATATTATCAATGTGACATAATAATTTCATCAAATAGCGTAAATTGTTTGACAAACACTGTTTCAACAGTTGTTCCATTGTGCGATACTTTTAGTCCGGTTCGCCTGTGTCATGTTGCCGTATCGACGCAAGTAATATTGCTCGCTTAGTGTGCGCAATTCGCTCGCTGTTAGGTTTGTACGGAGTATTCTATACTTATTGTGGCGGATTATCATGTGACTATGCACTTGTTTATATTTTTTTGTTTTACCGTCAATTAGATTTATTGAAACTGTTAATTTTATCGATACATAAATCATTATTAACATATAATGACAATTATTTTTGCGGTGAATTAGATGCTTTTTCTAATCATAGATATGAATACTCGACCATAATGTGTGCAGTGCAGTGCGTGTTGCTTTATTCCTTTATGGATGTATACGTTTCAAGCGGTAAGTCCTTGATAATTATAAGCTCTATTTTTATTTTAATAATTCCTTAATGGTACTAAGCCTATACTACCAAAACGTGCGTGGTTTGCGTAGTAAAACAGGGTTATTCTTGAATAACTTGTTAAATTATAACTATGATATTGTGTGTCTTACCGAAACTTGGTTATTGCCTGGCATTTTCGATGCTGAACTTTTTGATCGACGATACAGTGTATATAGAACTGATAGGGATTACGATAAGCACCGTACTAAGAAGGGTGGTGGCACCTTAATTGCTGTGCGTCAGGGATTGTCCGTAGATGTAAGGTCAGTACACCCCGTACCCTCCCTTTTAGATACAGAAATTACGTGTATTAATATTGTAATGAAAAACGGGCGTAATACTAAAATACTATCAATATTTTGTTGCTACTTTCTTCAAGGTACAAATCAGGAATTGGCTGAACAATCATTTTTTGATCATGTTTCTGACATAGGAATAAACGAACCCGATAATGATTATTTACTGATCGGTGACTTTAATATTCGTTATGCAGCATGGAATGGTGATTCCATTTCAGGAGTTTATTTATCTAATCCACATGTTAACTCACTGGTGTCACAGCTGCATATGTTCTTGAGTTTTACAGGATGGTCTCAATACAATATTGTAGGTAATGCTAATGATAGATGTCTTGACCTAGTAATATCTAGTTTTAAATGTGTTGTATCTCGCACCGAGCCGCTGTCACTGCCAGAAGACTCACATCACCCTGCGCTTAAAGTTGAGTGGCAGACTGAGAGTGACTCATTGCTACTACCATTGCCACGGACTGTTCAATGTTTCTATGCCGCTAATTATGAACATATCAAAAGCGACATTGAAAAAGTTGACTGGGAGGAAATTTTTCAAAACCATTCTCATAGACTGAAAATAGATTTAGCGGTAGACATTTTTTATAAAATTATTTATGAGATCATTGATATTCACGTTCCAAAAAAAATATTGAAACACAGCAATTATCCAGTTTGGTATTCGCGACCGTTAATAAAACTTATCAAAAAAAAACAAAGAAAGCACAAAAAATGGAAAACTTATGGCAGACAGTCTGATTACCTGGAATTTTCTAAGTTACGTAAAGAGATTAAATCAATGCAGAAATTATGCTATGACACTTTTATTACAAAAACAGAAGTAAATTTAAATAAAAATACCAAACATTTTTGGGCGTTCGTAAAATCAAAAAAGGATAATAACTCTATTCCAGACACACTTTACTTGGACAACTCAACTGTTTCAGAGGGATCAACGATTGCACATGTCTTTAATACTTTTTTTCAATCTGTTTTTGAAAGCCATCCGGAGGCGACTTCTACCTATCCACCTTATAGACAAAGTGAATGTATTATTAATTCTGTAAGATGTTCGGAAGACATTGTCAAAAAGTATCTATCAAAGGTTGATGCAAATAAGGGATCCGGGCCGGATGGTATTCACCCTTATTTCATTAAAATGTGCTGCAAGCAATTGGCAGCTCCAATTGCTTACCTATTTCGCCTATCGTTGTCTAGCGCAGTAATGCCTTTAGTGTGGAAGCAGTCTTTGGTTGTACCCATTCATAAAAATGGTGATAAACACAACATCCGTAATTACCGAGGAATATCAAAATTGTCTGTAATACCTAAGTTATTTGAAAAAATAGTTTTCGACTCCCTTAATGTAGCCCTTAGACCGATTTTTATTAGTCAGCAGCACGGATTTGTAGCAGGGCGCTCCACTGAAACAAACCTATGTGAGTTTTTAGACCAAGTATTGTGTGGAATGAATAATGGTTT